CAAGCCACGGTTAAGACAGCTGACTCCACTGTGATGTGTCTCGCTCGCTCTCTCTCTTGCTCGCTCGCGCGCGCGCACGCACGCACACACACACACCTCTCTCGCGCGCACACACACACACACACACACACACACATGAGCAAAACTCTGCATTTGAACAGTCAATAGCAAATACTTAAACTAATAACAAAACAGTAGCTGATTCAGAAGCGCCAGATTGTCATAGCAAAGTCAGAATGACCTCCTCTCCTAGGTTCACGAAACGGTCGTCCATAAAATGCATTGCTGTTCTGTTGTAAGTAATCTGAAAGATTCCTAAATGCATCTACTTTCGGAAGGCCAAATAAAGTGCTTTTGCTTTCACCTAGAAACACACAGCGTCTCCCTGACATGCTGCTTCAACACTAACTGCGGTTACTGAAGCCACACCTTCTTTCTTTGCGTGAACATTTGGGCGGCATTATGCAAATATTTCCACATAGTGAGGTAGATATGTGGGGGCATGTTAGAACCAGCCGTTTTAAGGTGGCGTGGCAGAGTCCTAACTTTGATAAAGAATATCTCTTTGGTTTTGAGACTTTAGTCTTTGCAACTTCAGGGATCTTATCTATGCACAATCAGCTTGTAACACTCCAAAGAGAAAGGGAAACTTGAAATCGCATCATATGACCCCTTTAATTACAGCCCCTTGTGCACTGTATTGGAATATTCTTTTTAGTCTTCCTCTTTACTCATAGCAAGTAACTGACATAATTTTAGCCTTATACGCTACTTTTTTATGAAGGATGTTGTGGAGTGGATTGAAATGATTGTTGAAATATCAGAATGTAATTTGGGGTTTTCATGTGTAATAAATCGAAATTGTATTCATAAAGCTAGAAGCCTGTTTTGTTATACAGTTGTTTTTAGTTGGTTGAGATTTTTGAAGAAAAATAATGCAATTAAGTTAATGAATGTTAAAAGAACTGGAATTACTTGTTTTTGGTTTGTTTTGTTTGTTTTTGATTTATTTAGATATCTGCTCCACCTACCTGATGTTTATTGTACTGATTTGTTGATGTTGGTTGTATACATTGTCATATTTTTGAAAACACATGAGAATTTGAATTACCAGTCTGGTTCAGCCACTGTGTCTGAATTTTTATAATGTCTCTTTCTTTATTTTTCTATTGAGAAATTATTTTCTGTTGACCCCATTTGTATAAGCAGCTTGGATAGGACATGCAGGTCTTTATGGCTTATGGTTTTATAAATCTGTCCCTGCTATTGTAATCTCAAAAGCAGGGGTAGCACAGACTGAATGCCTGTGGTTTTCCTTGTAAAACAAAATCCAAAAATCTTTGAAAAAAAAATTCTGTAAAAAATGCGACTTCCTAACATTTTTTTAGTGTTAAAAAAACACTAAAAAAAACCTTTTTTCTCCCATGTTGCTTTTTAAGAGAAAGCTCAGAAAATGGTTTCATTCACTGCAATTCTTCCAGAAATTGCTAATTCATACAGAAACAGGCCTTTGCAAGTTATTTTAACTCATTGAGTAAACAGGGTTTAATCTCATGCAAAGTCACAGTGATGATTACCATAAATCAGTGGCCTGGGGTTTTTTAAAAAGCATTTCATATTACCATTCCAAACGGTCCTGTACAGTTTCTCTAGCTTTGTACTATGTTATAATTCTTAAAAATGTATATTGTGGCACTGCTAATGCTGTTATCTCCTTTATGAACGATCGCTTTTCCTTATTTTTAAGTCACAGCTGTTAAATCTTTTGTCTCAGCTCTTTATGATCAGTATATTTAATAAATGCACTGTGTGAAGTAGCCTAGTTATTAATTCTTACCTCTAAACTGATCACTGTTATTTGCAAAAGGTAAGGAAAAGGGAGTGTCCTTTCAGTTTCCTTCCTTGGATTTTCTATGATTATTTTACAACAATAGTCTAGAAACCATGCAGGCAGATATTTACATCATTATTTAAAACCACTGTAAACAGGGTTGCAACAAACCCCTGAAGTAAATAAACTGCTCACTGTAGCTGTAATTGTACAGGTATAAACACTGAGTATTTTGAAGGGCTTTGTTGCAGCTGGCTGCAGGGCATTAGCATAGTCTCAAAGATTAAATAGCCAAAATTTGCCTCAATTTAGTCGATTGTTAAAAAGTTCCCTGAACTTGCTCCTGGAGCCCCATGCAGGGGCATCAACCGTAGACTGTATGGCTTCAACCCTGCTTCTGGAGACACACTGTCCAAAAGAGTTTAACTGCAAACTTATGATGAATGTAATAATGTATTATCATCTCACCCACTGATTTGGAAATGACAGTAACTATGGTCAAAGAGAGTCATTTGTGGATTCACAAACTGATATATATATATATATATAGGCCTATTTACAAAATACAAAACTGCAACATTATGAACATGTTGCTGGAAGCATAACACGAACTGCAAATTAGTGACAGACCAATGAAGAAGAACAGGAGTCTAGAAAAAAATTGAGCAGAGTCTGCATCGCACGACTTTTCCTCTCAGACACTAAGCGCAAACCCCGCCCCGCAGCCGATTCGAAAGATTTCATTGGTCATGTCAATCACAGATTTGCATGCCTACACAACACTGAAACAAATACTAACCCTTAACGCTACCCTAAGCCACAACCTTAACCTTAGGATAGCATTGATAACACATCATGATAGATAACGACACGACTGTTATACTGCTACTGTTAATCGCGTTCGAAATCCATGATTTTTCTGAAGTTTTCTTGACAGCGTGACTGAATTGACCAATGAAATCCCCCAAGGGGCGGGGTTTTGTGCGTAGCTTGTAAATTTGGGGAAAAATACCACCACGCCCCTTGGCCCTTGAACGTATTTGCACTTTGAACATTACATAAGCACTATTAATTGTAAGCACAGTTCAGCACAGCTTTGTCTGGAAAAGACACATCTGCTTACGTACGATGGGCTTTGAGGACTCTATTATGCAGGCAATTGAATGCGTCAAGTGAGTAAAACTGCGGAGCGCGGAATGTGTAGAGTTTAGTAACGCTAGTGAAGCCTCTCCTGCTTTTTAAGGTGCGGTTAAATCATTTCCTTTGCTGTGCAACTTGCCTAGTCATTTCGAGGTCACTGCATGGACATTTCACCAGTTTCCTGCAACTTCACCACAGACGTCTTTGTTTGTCTAGTTTGTAAATGTGCATGCATGGCTTTTTTTGTTGAGCATTCATTCTCTTAATTATTTTAACTAAAATGTTAAGTCAATGCAAATTATTTTCTTTAGTTGTACAGTTTTAAATCAGACAGTATCATGCGCATTGTGTCTGTTTTCTATAAAAAAGGTACATGCCATAAAGAGCAATGCGCTTATTTTAAATGACATGTAGAATCAAGACTCAACATTCATGAAATACCTTGAATTGTCATTTTATGTGAGAAAATCTCATCTTGACATCACAAGACAACACCTCATGCAATATGATGACAAACTCAACAACGGCAATGTGAAGAAAACTGATAAGTGGTCAAACAATGCAACAATATTAAGTATTATTGCCCCAGTGCATGGTGGGAAGAGGGCCGTGATTTTGCCAATGAAGACATGTTCCTGGATCAGCATCTTTTGTTGATCCTGAATCAACATTACTGTCCAAAAATTGAGACCTAACCCAATCCCTACCCCTAAAAACCTAACCATGCCCATAATTTATTCCTAAAATCAGAAGGAAATGATAGGTGAATAACAAGGGTGTAGAAGCATCTAACCCTGATTGTAAGCCTAAAACTGACATTTCTAGAAAACGTATCCCTCAATTCTGACTGGTTGATTGGAATGTTGTTCCAGGATCAACATCCTTGTTGATCCTGGAACAACATTCCAATCAACCAATCAGAATTTACCTTAGGTTATTAAAATAACCTATTAAATAACTTAATAGGTTATTAAAATAACTTATTCCCAGTGTGGCCCTATTTAAGCAAAAAAAACATGCTTATTTGCTTAGTAAGTAAATAAAAAAGCCTATGTAAGTAAAAAAGCCATTCTTAAGGTTTTGGGCAGTCGGGGTTGACTGATTTCTTGTCAACTAACTTGCTTCACTTTTAGAGAGACCCTTGGTAACCTTGATCGGTCTAAACTACAGCTCCTAGTACTCTCTTCTGCTGGGGTTGGAGCAGTTTTGTGCTACTTGGCATGGAGGCAAAGCCCCAAAACAATACCAATTGGGGA